TGATATCTTGTTCATTCGTGGTCACTGTTACCAAGATAGGAGTGTCTATGGACCCAGTGACTTAAAGTGGGTCTATACATCTTCCAACATGTTTACTAACAAGTTTGAACTAGAGTCATATCCATAGAAATGCCTAGAAGTGAGGATTCAGGACAGAGTCCTAAATCAAGATGAAGTCCCAGTAGAACCAGATTGGTATTTGCTCCCAAATTATGAGCTACTTTTTAAAAAATTTATTTACTTAAATTCAAGTTAGGAGGCCCTTGGGTGGCTCAGTGGCTTGAGCATCCGTCTTCAGCTCAGGTCATGGTCTCACTATTTGTGAGTTCAAGCCCCAAGTCAGGCTCTGTGCTGACAGCTCAGAGCCTAGAGCCTGCTTCAGATTCTGTGTCTCCCTCTCTCTCTCTGCCACTCCCCTGCTCATGCTCTGTCTCTGTCTCTCAAAAATAAATAAACAAAAGAATTGGTCACCAGGAAGAAAGAAGACAGTGGAGCTGGCTCCTGAGGTGGTAATCCTCTGGGTCCTCCAGACCCAGATGGCACCGTTGGGAGTGTGCTAGTAAGCTGAGAACACTGATGGCCATGATCCCTATTACCTGGCACTCAGGCCTGTTTGTCCAAGGTGCTCTCATAAGAGAATGTAACTCCCAGGCACAGCTTTGCCTTCAAAATCTGCTGCATTCATATCAGCATTATTTGCAATGGCTGACAGGTGGAAGCAAACCAGAATGTCCACTGATGGATGAAGAGAGAAACAAACTGTGGTGCTTGTTGGAATAGAATATTGCACAGCCATAAAAAAGGATGAGATCTTGCCCTTTGCAACAACGTGGATGAACCTTGAGGGCATTATACAAAACCAGACACAAAATGTCACATAGTATGATTCCATTTATATGAAATAGCCGGAATAGGCAAATCCATAGAGACAGAAAGTAGAATGGTGGTTGCCAGGGCGGAGGAGCAGCAAATGTGGATGTATTGCTGACTGGGTACAGACTTTCAAGTTCTGCAGGTTGAAAAGAGTTCTGGAGACCAATGGTGGTAATGGTAGTGCATCAGCATGAATGTACTTAGTATCACCTAGTATCACACTTAAAAATGGGTGTGACAGTAAATTTTATGTTATGTGTATTTTACCAAAGAAAGAAAGAAAGAAAAGAAAGGAAAAGAAAAGAAAAAAATTAACCTGCTGCAAAAAGTGTTCACTTCTAGCACCAGGGTGGTCAGTTCCCAACTCCTGACTGGGCCAGATCTTCACTAGAGTGAATGGGAGTTTTGCCACCCTGTAACCCAGTCTCTACCTTTCTCTAGAGCTGAAAGCCCAAAACGTGCCCTGCAGTAATAGCAGTAAATTCATGAAGTCATCCATCTCCCCTCTCTCCCATCTAAATCCCTCCAAGTGAAGTGCATGAGGCGTAAGCATTGCTTGATTGAACGTAACGTGTATTAACGTAGGTAAAAGAACAATCCGTTACAAATCTGGTAATTTTAGCACGCCTATCGGCACCCAAGGTGAGCAATCAAGTAAGCAGTAAGATACACTTAATGTGAAGCTCAAAAGAAAGGTCTGTGCTGCAAACATCTATGTGGGCTTCTTGTACAGGAAGTGGATGAGCCAACCCTGAGAAAACGCAGATGGAACGTGTGGCCTAGGACGCTGTTGAATAGCAGAATGAAAATAGAGACCACCACCCAAGTCTTTCTAACCTGCCCACATGGGATGTCCAAATTAAGAACTTGATTAAATTCAGACACTTTGGGTTGCAAGGAAAGAAACTGAACCACTAAGAGAATTGTCTTGGAAACTTAGTGATTTCCTGAAAACAGTAGAGTGCAAAAATGAAAAAAAAAATGAGAGAATACACAGCCCCTGACTCTCTCCTGCGAGCACTTCTATCTACCTCTCTCTGTAAATTCACCTTATCCCACAGCTGGAGATATTGCTTCAGCAGCTCCTGGGGCCCATCTCTCCTGGGGCCCAGCTTCGCCACCAGAGAAGGACTGATCATCTTCAAAAATTCGAGGGAAGATTTGGGGCGCCTGGGTGGCTTAGTCGGTTAGGCGTCCGACTTTCGCTTAGGTCATGATCTCGCGGTTCGTGGGTTCGAGCCCCGCGTTGGGCTTTGTGCTGGCTGCCAGCTCGGAGCCTGCTTCAGATTCTGTGTCTCCCTCTCTCTCTGACCCTCCCCTACTCACGCTGTCTCTCTCTCTCTCTCTCTCCTAGAAATAAATAAAACATTAAAAAAAAATTTTTTTAAAAATTCGAGGGAAGATTTGATGGATTCAGTTGGGTTGTGAGATCACTCTGACCAATAAGGTGAGGCAGAAACTGTGGCTTAGGCTGCATTGGAGCCCAGCGATAGAACACTTGTCAGTTGTGATCAAGGGTCACCGAGGAAAGATATCACCAGAATCCCAAGATTTGAGTCAGAAAAAGATTTCCAAGAAAAGATAGGCTGACTGACAAAACCAAGTGCCAGCTATACACTGTGCAGATTCTCGAGGCAGAAGCCTGTTTATAGAAGGTGCAGTAGATAAAGGAAGCAGTGAGGTCAGCCACATCCCCTCTCCCTCGAGTTTTTAAGATAGCTCACATCTCAGTAACTACAGGACTCTCGCTGGACTGTGGCTTCTGCTGCTGAAGCCTGAGTGGAGTTCACTCAGGGAAAGCTGGAGCATACCATGGGGTCTCAGAGCACCCCATGATGATCAGTGTACACCACCAGATGCCCACCCTGTGGTCAGCTCTCAGCATTTCCTCCCTCTTCCATCACAAGAAGGAGTCTAATCCTCCCAGTCTGCATCTCCATGAAGGCTCCTTGATCAGAGGCAAGGGTCCATAGGTCCACACAATCCTAACCTTGCCTCATCAGACAGTGGGGATTCCATCCCACTGGCCCATTGGTTTCCTTGTTCTTCATGGAGCAAAACATAGCAGCACCAGAAATTAAGGCCTTTGCCCAAACAGTCATCACTAAGTACAGAGCATCAGTTTCCATCTTTGGTTTTCTTATCTCTCTACTTGCAGCACAGAAATATTGCCTGCCCGTGCTCATCGGGTGCTCGTCTGCATGGACACAACCAGCACAAGCAGAACTTCAAAGCCCACTGTTGATTGCCTATGACCAATGGGGGTTCTCACAACCAGTTACTTACTGTCAACCCTCAGCAGAAGGACTTGGACAGTGTGACCACACCAACCAGGTCACCCCAGACTTCAGCAGAGGCATCTAACTATGCCGACCTCTGATATTTACAAACAAGCTGATATTTATAAACAATGCTGATGCTTGTACACATCTTTTTGTTCCTCTTTGTCTCTTTTAGAATTAGAGCTCTTGCCCCTTTGTGAAGCTGGGATTTGTTCCAATTGGCGGTAATCATCACTTTTCACACTGCATTTGCCACTGTCTGGTTACAATCACGAGGGGTCCTCTCTGCTTACACTACGCTTGGTCCCTATCATTGCTAACCTGAAAATTCTGGAGAATCCATTGATCTCCAACAGAGATATCAGGCTGTTCTTGCTTCCTCTGACCCCAAACCCAGCATTTGTTACCTCCCAAGTTACCCTTGTCTCACTTGGTATTAGAGAATGTAAAGACTTCCTCCCACTTGAGGTGGATGGTTACCCTTTCACAGGATTAATAGTGATAAGTGGAAGGAAAGCAGAGGCAGTGGGGGCCGTTCCAGCAACAGGGCAGGAGACTTTTCAACATATACATTTATGCTGATGCTTTCATTTTATCTTTCACTCACATCTTCTAAATCGAGACCCTCTTAATCAAATGTTCTCTATTTCTGCATGCTATATATTGCCCCACTACACTGAGCTTAGGTGACAAAGCTGCCCCAAATTTTATTTTTTTAAATTTTTTAATGTTTTATTTATTTCTGAGGGACACACACAGGGTGAGCAAGGGAGGGTCAGAGAGAGAGGGAGACACAGAATCTGAAGCAGGCTCCAGGCTCTGAGCTAGCTGTCAGCAGAGTCCGACACGGGGCTCGAACCCATGAACTGCGAGATCATGACCTGAGCTGAAGCTGGGCGTTTAACCAACTGAGCCACCCAGGCACCCCAAAGCTGCCCCCAATTTTAAAGCATAACCGTTCACCTGACAATTTCTGGCTATCAATTGCCGTCTAGCCAGATTATGTGATTCCACACTCTGCATTTACACATTCCACCTTTACACATCTATCCACTAATGCCCTGACCAGTTCAGATCAGCCTCATCCTTATTAAATCTACTTTAAAATGTCATTTAAAAAACGTTTAGTTTTGAGAGAGAGAGTGAAAAAGAGAATCCTAAGCAGGCTCCATGCTGTCAGTGCAGAACAGAGCCCAAAGCAGGACTTGAACCCATGAACTGTGAGATTGTGACCTAAGCCGAACTCAAGAATCAGCTGCTTAACTGACTGAGCCACCCAGGTGCTCCAAAACTATTTTCTTTAAAAAAATTTTTCTTAATGATTTATTTATTTCTGAGAGAGAGAGAGGCAGCGTGAGCAGGGGAGGGTTCAGAGAGAGAGGGAGACACAGAATCTGAATCAGGCTCCAGGCTCTGAGCTGTCAGCACAGAGCCCGACACGGGGCTCGAACTCACAAACTGTGAGATCATGACCTGAGCTCAAGTCGGATGCTTAACCGACTGAGCCACCCAGGCGCCCCATCTCCAAACCTATTTTCAAATGTCTTATAGTGCTGCTTATTCTACCAGGATAGGTATGGGACCTCTTCTGGCATTTGTTAATGTAACACACTTCCAGAAACGGATGTGCTGGTAAAGTTTATTTCCATTGCATTTTATCATGTCAGTCACATCTAAGTCCCGGAGATTTGTATTTACATATAGCACAGAGTACATCCCTGGGAGAATTCTTTTTGGTTTAGCAGAAAACAAAACAAAACAAAAACAAAAACACACCAAAAAACACCCACAAGAAAACCAAAACAGGATGCAATTGATATGACAGTTGGATAGCATGATATGACCTCATGCTTCTCTGGGGGTCTCATCTGGGATTTCAGACTGAACCGTATCCAAAGGCTGCCAGTGGCAACTCATGAGAGAGTCGTAGAGTTCTTCGCTTTTCACCATAAACTGCTTGTTCAATTCTTCAATATTCAAGTGAAGATCTGGATCTGCAGAAGCCAATAATGCGTATGAAAAAAAAAAGCATTATAGGACACACATCAGAAATGGCTTAAAATGAGAGTTCAATAAAAACACCAGCAGGAAAATATCGCAGACATTTCATGCAAGAGTTTTTAAATTGTGTGTTGCCTTTCAAGAAGATTTGAAAATAGAAATGAGAGCTGGAAAAGCAGCGTGACCAGACTCAACGAGCATCCCCATGGTGAAAGAGATGGAGAAAACGGATGGATAAAGAGATGCTTTGGAGATGAATGGACATTAGTTGGAAATGGGTTCAATTTGGGGCAAAAGAGACAGGGAGGGTCAAGGATAAGCCCTAAGTGCCTGGCATGAACACCTGGATGGACACAAAGCCAGGGAGCCAGGACTAAATCCACAGAACAGGGCTTTGAAACAATAAACATGTTGCTTTCTTTGCTTCATTATCAGACTGATGGAAGTAGATACATTGTTTATAGCAGCTCATTCAGAAACAGAGGGGGGCACAGCCTTCCCTCTCTGAAACCTGGAACCTTATGATGAGACTGTGTTAAGTTATCATGAAAGCATCAGACCTCAATACTTGTTCCAAGTTGTCAGGTTTCCAAGGATATTCATGCCCTCCGGTTTTTTCTCTCCTTGGACTGAATGTAACTGAAGAAGCCCTGTGTTCCTCTGTAATTTTTGCAAACCTTAGCTCATCCAGGACCATAACTTTTACTTCCTAATACTCACAAGGGACCACACTATTCATTTGTATTTGTACGCCTGCTCTGGACTAAATACTCATGCCCTTAAATATTCATGGAGACACTTACTTCCAATGCAATGGTATTTGGAGATGGGATCGTTGGGAGATAATTAGGGTTGGATGAGGTCATGACTGTTGGGCCCTTGTCTGATGGGATTAGTGCCCTTATAATAAAGGACACCAGTGCTGGTGTTCTGTGTCCCCCCCCCACCATAGGAGGACATAATGAGAAGGTGGCCTTCTGCAAGCCAGGAAGACAGCCCTCGCCAGGCACTGAAGCAGCTGACACCTTGATCTTGGACTTCTCAAAGTCCAGGACTGATGAAGGCAGGGAGAATGGACTCAGGCTTGAGCCACAATGAAATCCCCCTGGGAGCTGGAATACTTCCTTTTTATTCACACTTCAGCCAAAGGTATTTGGATAAAACTAGAACTTCCCACAGCATTGAAAGATTTCTTTTAAACATCAGTTTCATTTCATTTGCACACTGAGCACCTGTTAACTTGCTGACTTTGTATTAGTCACTGGGACTATGAAGACAAGTGTTCCCACCTTTGATGCTGTTGCAAGGTGGTGGGTGGGCTGGTCTGCTGGGAGTCCCCTGGGGGTGGGGGGAAGCCACCAGATGGCCATGTGATAACACAGGCATGTGGTAAGGAACCAGCAAAGGCGTTATCTCTGGGTGTCTCTTCTGTTTCTCGTTCCCATAACTTAAGTAAAACAAGCCACACCTTTTCTCCCCTTCCTCGATTAATAACAGGGCCCTGCTCTGGCCATTTTGTGCTCCTGCACTTTGTTTCTTTCAAAACAGATCACGAACTACAAGGAACACTGCCTGGCCCTACAGACTGGGCCTGTGAGGTCGCAGGGGGCCAGTAACCCTGAGGGGAGCTGGGAAGCCAAGGCCACAGTGATTACCTTCCATTTCTCCCCTTAAAAATCAAAATTAAAGCAAATTAATCCCAAAGTTTAAATTTATGGAGGAAACTGATCTTAAAAACAATTCATTGGGGCACCTGGGTGGCTTTGTCAGTTAAGCGTCTGCCGTCGGCTAAGGTTATGATCTCACGGTTTAGGAGTTTGAGCCCCACGTCGGGCTCTGTGCTGACAGCTCAGAGCCTGGAGCCTGCTTTGAATTCAGTCTCTCTCTCTTTCTCTCTCTCTCTCTCTCTCTCTCTGCCCCTCCCCCGATCATGCTCTGTCTCTCTTAAAAATAAATGTTAAAAAAAAAATAAAAAAACAACTCACTGTCATCTTATTGTTTGGAAATGTCCCCATTTCCTAGTCCATCAGAAAGACCCAAACAGGTGGCTTAGCTCAAGCTTCCTACAGAAACAAATTTCCAAAAACCAGATGAACTCCTGAAGAAAATGGCTTACACAACCTATGTAGGAATTTTCCAGTAGAATCTCTCGGTTTTGAGCCAGTCGAGTAATGAGTAACCTGGGAATGGGTTAGTTTTGTTTTCAACCATGGCAACACAGGGTTTACATTACCTGCCAGTGGGGTTTCATCTTGCTTTCCTGCCAGAGCTGTGCTTTCCTATAAGGAAATTAGTATGTTAAGAAAAGAAATAACTTAAAGATTTATTGTCAACACATGCTTTTATAGAAAGCACTAGCTGTCAAAAATAATATCTACAGCACTGGACTCCCTTTCGATCACATTTGTTTTGAAGTCTGATTTGAAGGATCTTTAAATAATAATGACTACAGTTATGAAACAGGTAAACTGAGTCAACAGATGAAAACTCACAAAGGAGAAGCATGCCTAACCAAGGCCTCTGGCCTCCCTGAAGCATCTGGAACTAACTGGCACCCTAGGGCTGGGGCTAGGAACTAGACACCAGGGACCCTGCACCCAGACTCCACAGTCCCTGCACTACATGCTCAACTCTCTACCTAGAACTCTGCCCCTTCTTCCAGAGGATGAGTCACAAAATCTTCACGATTTTCCCTACAGCCTTCTAGTCACACCCCAGCCCCACAGTTCAGCTAAGGACGAGAACAGTAGGTGCTTAAGAAGATATCAGAGAGGGGCGCCTGGGTGGCTTAGTCGGTTAAGCGTCCGACTTTCGCTCAGGTCATGACCTCGCGGTTCGTGGGTTCGAGCCCCACGTCGGGCTCTGTGCTGACAGCCAGCTCAGAGCCTGGAGCCTGTTTCAGTGTGTGACTCCCTCTCTCTCTGACCCTCCCCTGCTCACGCTGTCTCTCTCTCTCTCCTAGAAATAAATAAAAAAATATTAAAAAAAAAAAGATATCAGAGACCATAGAAGAGCAAACCAGTCAATGAGAGAGGTAAATTCCAGAAGCATTCTCCAAATAAATCTTGTTTGGTTAACCCAGACCCAATTGGCTCTCCAGGGACAGTGTAAGTTTTTATGACTCCTCTCCACAGGCACCTGTTGGGAAGGGTTTCTGTTAAAGGTGTACAGCTGTTGGAAGGAACCAAGCCTTCCAGGAAGAGCCCAGGTAGCTCCTGGCACCAAATGAACTTAATGAGCCTCCCTTGCTAAGAAGAACAAGATCATACGGAAAGCCAGAGATGTGTGATCTCTTCTTTTGAACCTGTTGGAAAACGTGCCTCCCTTTTACTCCGAAGGAGGCCCTGGTTTGGAAAGTAAATTATACAATTACCATAAATTTAACCTCACCTTTGGTATCTTTTTCCTATTTAGACATGACTAAGACACCTCGAATCTGTGCTTAAATGAGGCCTTGCTCATAACACAATGCCCGAGTAACCTCACATTTCCTCCTTTGCAACGTGTGCTCGGGTCACTGTGGACCCCACGTGACCAGGGGGCGGGGAGCAGATGCTCTCTGGAGACAGGGCATTCTCTCTGGTGTGAGGGTCCCCTGGGCAGTACCTGTTGTCTTTCCAGAAGGGCACAACTAGTAACTGTTTTGCTAGTGGTTTTGCTCAGAATCGTTTTGAAGATATCCACTCCCTCTGACCTAAAGACCCAGTGTCAAAATGTACAGGGTTCTCGGGAGGCTAACCTCTTATCCTGGAGAAACAAGCGTTGGGAACACCATCATGCCCCAGTGGGGGGAAACGGACACTGTACCTGGGACATTTGACAGAGGCCATGCTTTCTTAGGCAAGAATGAAACGAGGGCACATGAGTGGAAGAGGCTCATAGCAGAGCCTCACCATTTGGAATTTTGCTGACCAGCCTCATAACTGGGAATTCCTGCCAGGAAAGCAGGCAATTGGTGCAAGTGTGCTAACCACAGCCACCAAAGTGAATAGGTTGCTAATTCTTGAAACTGCATGTTAAGAAACAAAAGAAGAAAGAGAGAAAGAAAGAGAAGAAACAAAAGAAAGAAGAAGAAAGAAAGAAACTGCATGTTATAGTCATAATTTGACTGGAGAGTGGGATGAAAATCCCAGCAGGTGGAGAAGAAAGCAGGTGGGGGGGGGAGGGGTAAGGGACAAGGAGGGAAAAAGCTGGTTGATTTCTTTTTAAAATTTTATTTATTTATGGGGCGCCTGGGTGGCTTAGTCAGTTAAGCATCTTACTCTTGATCTCAGCTCAGGTTGTTATCTTAGGGTTCCTGGATTTGAGTCCCAAGTCGAGCTCTGTGCTAAACAGCATGGCACCTGCCTGGGATTCTCTCTCTCTCTCTCTCTCTCTCTCTCCCTCTCTCTCTGCCCCTCTCCTGCTCACCTGCTTTCTGTCTCTCAAAATAGACATTAAAAAATTTTTATTAGTTATGTTTCTTTGTTCTTTTGGTGTTGTTTCTTATGGTCTTTTATTTCTCTGCCTGGTTGTTTTCTCATGAATAGGCAGAAATCAAGAAATACTTTCATTTTTGAACTTGATAATGCAGTCAAACCTATACTTCTCTATTTAAAGATAAGGGTAACCGCCGGAAGACACATAGACTATCTCCTCAACTAGTGAAAAAGTGAAGGGGCAGAAGAAAAAAAAAATGTACTAAAACCTCAGGTAATATAGCAAAATATGTTTTTTAAGTGATGCACCATCAAACATCTGCTAACAGTGTAAAACTCGATTTGGGTTTAAAAATTTAAAAAGCAAGAAATCTAACAAGATACTTTATATAAAAGAAGGAACACCTAAACAGACTTGAAAAACTGAAAACAAAAGCTTGGGTGGGGGTGGGGAATGCCAAGCAAATGTAAGTTTTAAAAACTGAGGGTTGAAATGTTAAATCTAACTCTGGGTTTAAGGCATAGGATATCCCGTAAGGAGCACATTATAAAACAAATTGGACAGAGCACTAACACTTTGCTCAATGCTAACTTCCATAATATGTAAGTGTCTGCACAGATAAAAGGGGGTATAGCCAACAGAAAAAAAGGTCGACAAAGGACATCAAGGTCACAGAACACAGATATCATCAAGCAACAGCTTAAAAGGTATTTGCCCTCAATGATAGGCAGATGCTTTCCACACCTGGCACATTGGTAAACTGCACACAGAAATGTAGAGAGGCGAGCACATTCATAACCGCAAAGTGAAAACGTAGGCAGGCTTTTTGGTGAGTAATTTGCGATCTGAATTTTTAAATATTATATCCTATAATCCAGAACTTCTACTTCCAGAAATGTATTCTCAGGCAAAGGAACACTCCAACAAGTACTTGGAGATTGGTCAAAGTTTGTTGAAGCACTAAGAACATTTAAAATGTGAGCCCAGGGGTGTCTGGGTGGCTCAGTCGGTTGAGTGTCCGACTTCGGCTCAGGTCATGATCTCACGGTTCATGGGTTCGAGCACCGCATCAGGCTCTGTGCTGACAGCTCAGAGCCTGGAGCCTGTTTCAGATTCTGTGTCTCCCTCTCTCTCTCTGCCCCTCCCCTGTTCACACTGTCTCTGTCTCTGTCTCTCTCTCAGAAATAATTAAAACATTAAAAAAAATAAATAAATAAAATGTGAGCCCATAAGGGATGAGCTAATGTCACAGCACGTCCAAATGAGCAACTTTTAACGAAAGCGCTTTACAAGGGGGAATATCTCAGGGCAGCTGGGTGGCTCAGTCAGACACCTGACTCTTGACTTCAGCTCAGGTCATGATCTCATCATGGTTCTTGAGTTCGAGACCCTCATCAGGCTCTGTGCTGTCAGTGAACCTCTGTCGCTCCCTCTCTCTCTCTGCTCCTCCCTTGCTTGTACACGCGTATGCGCTCCCATGCGAGCTCTTGCTCTCTCTCTCTCAAAAATAAACAAACATTAGGGGAACATCTCCTAATGCCACCTGTAAGTGGGAGCAAGCAGGGAGTAAGCCAGTATGTACTACACAGGTCATTCTTGCCCAATTCTCCCCCAACTCCGCAAACAGATATAAAGCCCAATCACACTGATTCTCAAGAGTAGAAGGGGAAAATCCAGAGGACACAGATGCCCTTGAACAGGGCTTTCTTCTAAGTGGGGAGGAGATGGGGAAGAGGAAAGGGATGGGGGGTAGGATGGAGGAAGCTTGTCTTACTCTAGCACATCTGGCGATTTCAGAAATAGCTTGCCTTAGTAACCTAAACATTAGAACAGCTCTTTTTAATTTTTAAAAAATGCTTATTTAATCTTGAGAGAGACAGAGTATGAGTGGGGGAGGGGCAGAGAGAGAGAGGGAGTCACAGATTCTGAAGCAGGCCCCACGCACTGAGCTGTCAGCATAGAGCCCGAGGTAGGGCTCAAACTCACCATCTGTGAGACCATGGCCTGAGCTGAAGTCAGACGCTTAACCGACAAGCCACCCAGGCGCCCTTGGAACAGTTCTTATAAGTGGGTTCATGTTTTCTGCTATTGCAAAACAAAACAAAAACTACCTCTAGTCCTATTTTAAGTGTTTAAAGAGTAAAATCAAGGGGTGCCTGGGTGGCTCAGTCGGTTAAGCCTCTGACTTTGGCTCAGGTCATGGTCTCACGGTTCATGAGTTTGAGCCCCACGTTGGAGCCTGCTTCAGATTTTGTCTCCCTGTCTCTCTGCCCCTCCCCAACTTACCTGGTCTCTCTCTCTGTCAAAAATAAAACATTAAAAAAAAAAAAAGAGTGAAATCAAATGAGTGCTAACCTAAAATTTAGCAGTAGGAATTTAGGCAAGGACTAAATAATTCAGCCCATTATTTTGGTTTTGGAAGAAGGTGATGACTTAAATTGTTGCAAATCATCAGCTTTTCCTCTCTGGTATTAAATGGGGAGCAAAAGCCTTTGCTGTGGGAATTTGAATGAGAGCATGTGGAGGTGTGAAGGTAGGAAAAAGCTACTTCTCTGTTGGGCTCACAGACAACACAGGATTCATTTCAGGGAGGCGTACCTTAGCTGTGACCAGACTCTCAGCTGGGCATCCGGAGGTCTCACGCACAGAAAGGTTGTGTCCATTTCCATCCGTTGCACAGCCATAGGTGTAGCCAGAGAGGGAGTAACCGCTGTGAGGCTGCTCAAACCAGCTGCCCGAGTGGTAACCTTGGCAGGGCTGGAACACTGGTGTCCCCCTAAAGAGCAGAGAGAGGACAAGAATGACATCACCGAGCAAGGCAGAATCATTCGAAACCCCAGGACTCTTTCTTCCTTCCCAGCAGGCTCAAATAAAGGCGATTTCTGCATTAACTGTTGAGGACACCTATTTCCAAAGCGATGGTTTGGAAATGGCCAAAAATCATGTAAGAGATAGAGCATGGACGGGGGCGCCTGGGTGGCTCAGTCGGTTAAGTGTCTGACATCAGCTCAGGTCATGATCACACGGTTCGTGGGTTCAAGCCCTGCGTCAGGCTCTGTGCTGACAGCTCAGAGCCTGGGGCCTGTTTCAGATTCTGTGTCTCCCTCTCTCTCTGACCCTCCCCTGCTAATGCTGCCTCTCTCTCTCTCTCTCAGAAATAAATAATAAAAAACATTAAAAAAAAGATAAAGAGTGCGGACGGCCTTCATTTCCATTCGGAGTAGGAAAGACCAGCTCACCTTTGCCAGTACCAGTAATAGTCATTTGCTTGCGCTACGCCAAAGCCCACAGAACTCTTCTGCGCAGCCATTTGTCCAGAAACTTTACAGGCGGTCCAGGCATCCACAGTTTTTATTCCTGGGGCAATAATTCCAGCTCTGGGGGCTACAGACTCTCACCCCAGCAAAGCTCTCTCTCAAGCAATTACACTCAGGGTCAGTTCCTGCTAGGCAATGAATTGCTTGACTTTGGTTACAATGGGGCTAAGGTGTGGGTGGGGGAGGCGTCCATAGGGGTCACCTGGGGGAGCTTCTGCTCGTTCTAAGCTTGTCAACACCCTCTTCCAACCCCAGGCCCCCAGGAAAGGCAGCTGAAAGCCAGGGGGGATGCAGAGGGGTGTGTGTTTAGCCACCGCAAAGCCCACCGAAGCCCACAAAGTCTCCATCCCACTCTCTACAATAACTGAGTCACTCGTAATGACTAAAACCTTAAAAAAAAAAAAAGTTGATGTTTCCCTTCTCAGTTCAATTATCTGCTAACTATTGGAACCAGAAACTAGTGGAATTTTTTTTTTTTATAGCCTCTGCAGGTTGAAATCATTACCTGGAGCAGCTGGTGGAGAGACGTCCTAGAATGAACGCACGCACACACACACACACACACACACA